TGCCAAGAAGTTTATTTGAAGTTACTTTTAATTCAGATAACGATTATGTAATTGGCAGCAACTATAGTTATCAGTTCTTTGCAAATTATTATGGGTATGTAATAATCAGTTTAAAAAATAATTGATGAGTATTTGAGTTACTAAAGAGTGTACACATTTTGTTATTGGGTTAATTCATAATTATATCATACGTATGATTCTACGTAATAAAAACATGACTAATAAATAATAAGAAATGTAACAGCTGTGCATTTATAACATTTGATTACTTAAAACAGCGCACAACTGATTATCACCTTCATGTCTGTTTACATAATGAATTGCACTTTCCAATTAAGTGCACAGGCCTACTAGTGGCCGAAGCGTCGTTGAACACTGGTAGTTCTGTCTCAGGTTAGAATGCCGCGAACGGGCTGGCTACATGACGTTTCCTTGGTTTGCCCCATTTGTAATTGAATGGGGCAAACCAAGGAAAGGAAAGCCAGTTTTAAAAAATCTTCTACAAAGGGATCCCTCCTGTTGTTATCCCTCGAGGCTTTGCGGTAATCACATAAAACCAACTGAGCCCACCAGCGGCCGAGCGGAAAGTCGCTGAACAATGGTAGTTCGGTCCGAGGTTCGAATCCCGCAAACGGGCTGGCTGCATGGACGCTTTCGTGGTTTTCCCCATGTGTAACGTGTACACGAGCCAGTTTCCCTTAGAAAGTCCTCCCCGAAGGCATCCCTTCCCTTAGGCAGATAGCCCTATTGTGCTTTGCTGTAATCTCAATAAAACAAACTCATGATGTGAACACCTAATTTCTAGAGTTGGTATAATTAATGTGTTTTAGGTATATTACCGAGTGTTCTATGGGACAGTAAACAACTCGCACATGTTTGATTGCTCATGTATTCATATGCTTTATTTGATCTTCATTTTGCTGAATAGTATCTGCTGGCTGTGAGGAGGTAAATATCAGCCATATAGATTTTTTGTCATTTGAATGGACAGCAGAACAGTAATTATGAGCCATAAAGTTAGTCAGAAAATGCTTTCACCAGGTCACAAATTTTCCAGTGAGCCATCAAATTTTCATTGAAATGCAGACAACAGAAAAATACACATAAGCGATGTGTGATAAATAGACTTATCCAGCACATGTTTTTAAACTATTCTTAGGTGTATACAGAATTTGGCTATTACTGATGTAATTGATTGCTATAACCAGAAGTGTGTTTATCTGTTACATGAAGTGCCAGAGTGGAGATCAAAGTGATTAACTTGATAGCAATCACCTTTCTATTATCTTCCATTGCTAACAATAAAGTTTAAAACGAAAAGCGTGTGAGCGATACAAAACAACACGAAGAAGCGAATGTCACTTGAAAGGAAACGTCACTTTCACCAATCTGAGGGATAACTGATTCTTGTTTGGCTTTCAGTGAAGATGGTAACCCTATTTCGCCAAAGGCCGTTTCTCAGAACTGTTGCTACAAACGTTTTGTCCCGGCAACAAACAGCTAATGTGATAACGCTTTAAGGTGTTTAATTTTAGCTTGAAGAATTCAAATAGCAAATCATGCAGTAATGAGTACAAACATGAAAAAAGGAAGCTCCCACCTAAAATATTCGGCCTGTAAAAGCAGAATATATTTTTTAAATGTTCAGACAATATTCCTATGAGAAGAATTCCTTTGAGAAGTACACATCTGAACCACGATTAAAAAACATGTACAAGAACAGAGCTTAGGACTTCTGTTTGCAGAAAGTCTGTCACATAACATATGAAAAGTTTCTTATTGGTAGATTATTGATCAGACAGATATTTTAATGTTATACAGAGAAAGCATTCATTCCCTTTTCACTAGAGATAATTCAATCTGGACAATGGCAAAAAGGCTAGAAAGCAAGCATGAAGCGTATTGGTTCCCATTCTTGGCACTAGTATAGGTTCTACGCTCAAAATACACAGCAGATATTTTCTCAATTTACTTGCATCCCAATATCAATTCAATTCAGCTTTTGGTGGAATTTGCCATCTTGTGACATATTTTTTCAAAAACTACACTTCACAACATGCATACATGACAAATACACAGAACCATAAATAAACAAGCAATAATATATATTATATATAAATTTTACTAAATGATCATAAAATGTTCCAACGCTGAAAGTTTTAACATCCAAGTAAATGACATAATAAAAAAAAAAGCAAGTTGAACAGCCAGCACATGAATGCAATGTGCATACACCTGTAAAAATATACCAGAGGTAACGGACAAAGCACTTCGTAGCAAATAAATGACTATAAAGTTTCCAATAATACCATGTAATGATGGTGAATTCAATTTAGATCACAGAACATGCTCATACTTTTGAAGATTCAATTATTTCAGCAATTCCTTGTGAATTGGAATTTACCCTTTCAATACTTCCCAATGTAGTGTGAATGGAGGAATAAATTGTTATAACAGGAATGAACAATTATTAGCATCCCCTCGTACACATACATACACACACGCACCACACACACACACACACAAAAAAAAAAAAAAAAAAACTTTGGAAAAAAAATCATCCGGGCAATCATTCTCCTTTGACACAGATGCAGTTGTATCAATAATTTCTGACCTTCAATAAAAAAAAATAAGCATATTTTACTTCGGAATTAACTTACTACAAAATCATAAACATGAGGTAGTCGACATAAAGAATATATTATTTCTCACCTCTCGAAAACATCCGCTTGTTCGGAATCTTCCACATATCAGGAATTTAATTCCGTATTTATTTCTTGAGCTCGACGTTGTCTGTAAACTCTAGATCTTTTATTAAAATGAGGATGTTTTTTCGGTCTTCCTTGATATTTTCGCATATTTTTTGCTAACTGACCACAGTACAAATAAATGTAAACAAAACGAGTGCGGAGTAGCAATGCAATAGGGTTGCCGTAAACGTCTTTCCACTGACAGCTGACACTGTTTAATGAGAACTGTGTATAAAGGAATATATGAAATGCTTCTAAATATTATTTAGAAAAAAAAATATGATTTATAACTGGGATCAAAATCAATTATTTCGTGAATTTTTGCAGAAATAGGATTACAATGCTAAATTTTAACTCATAGCGCCATCTATTGATGGCTTTCCAAACTACACATTAAAATTATGTATTTCAAACTAATTTTTTTTAAATATAATATTTAAGTAAATTTCATTCCAAACCTGATTCTTACTTTACATTCCAAAACTGACCTATTGCTTTATATTTCTGCCAAATTTCACGCAACATAGTTTCTTAATTAGCGATTCTAAGTATAAATAAACTTTTAGTATTGTAATGCTACTGTAGTAGACAACCTTAAACACCTTTGCCAATTTTTCAACAAAATAAAATAATACTTTCTTGGGTTGACATTTCAACTCGCTATTCACACGGCTCATTGGCGATAACTATATAAACTCCTTTGCTAGTTAGGCAATACTATGGAATTTTACCCTTGTCAGTTTTACAATTTTACTGTCTATCTCCACACCTGGCTGGCGATAACAAAAATAATTTTTACTAGTTTGGCAATACAATTTAGCTGTAATACATTAGGCTGACATTACTATATATCACATGCCTGGATAACGAGAACTAAGAAAAAACTTTTACCTGTTTGGTAGTATAATAAAATCACACTACATCAGTTTGACATTACTTTTTATTTTTCACATGCGTGCTTGGCAACAAATTTAAAGATACAATTAGGAACTCTCTCTCTTTTTTTTTTTTTTTTTTTTTTTTTTTTTTTTAATAAATGCTGGGATGCCTTTCACGTATCAGTTATCAAAATAAAAAAATCAACTATTCCACTAAACAAAAATGTTTATACAAATAGCAGTAAAGCTTAAATAATATTTTTACATACTTGTTTATCACAAATATCAATTATAATTTGTGCCTAATATTTTCAGTATCTGTAATTTTAAAAAGAAACTTGCACTATTTAAATATAATTCTGAGATGAAATAGTAAAACTCAATGAAAAAACTTTTTTTATGAAAACCAAAAGTTAATCTTATCTTCGGAAATCAGCAATATCCTGTTCTGACAATTCTTTGCTTAGACGCGAGTTATAGAAACACAGAAGATAACCTTAGAATGATCCTTTGAATGAATTCAATAAGTAAATATATGAAACTTGCTGTGGTATGAATTGCATAGGAATAATAAGAATGGGGGAATTAAAAAGTAGAAAAATAAATCCAACTTTAAAGTTGTGTATACATTGTGAGAATTGGTGATAAGATTAAACAAATTTAAATAAATAAATAATATTAAATAAAGATTAAATGAAGGTGGATCAGTTATTTTAATGTTTTGTTTTACAACATAATTCCAACCTTGTAAAACAATGAGCAGTAAAGTTAACAAAATAAATGAGCTCATGAAATTAATTAAAAACTTCAATGTACACGAGGTTTTGTGTAAAAATATTTTTAAACATTGAGCAGCTGAATGCATCAATGCCAAACACAATTTTTTCTCTTTGCCTTTTCTAATGTAAGATTCTTAAGATTATCATAATTATCTTTTTGACATAAAATTAAGTGTAATACTGAAATATCAGTCAGATCATAGGGCCTTTGATATATTTTATAGAGAACAGTAATATTCTAGTTTAATAAAGATAATTATTTTTCAAAATTCTTTACAAAGACATCATTGCTCATAAGCAGGTTGCCCTTATGTCCCTTACTATTATCAAATAATCCTATTCTAATCAAGTTAATTTATAATTAAGGAAAGTTCTTCCATTGTATAATTTTACTAAAGGAAATATGTTTATCTTTTGTATTACCACACGATGAAAAAGTGCTTAATTGTTTTATTTAGAATACTTTATTAAAATAATTTATCATAGAATGTATTATCTGTTATTTAGTAGTAGTGTGAAAAGTTTTTTTTTTTTTTTTTTTTTTTTTTTTTTTGTTAAATATTTGATTAACCTTATATAATTATAAATTTTAGCTCATCATATTAGCTAGTGGAGGTCCAGCTGAACTTGTTCGTATTATGAGATCATATAACTATGAAAAACTTCTGTGGACTACATCCAGAGTTCTGAAAGTACTGTCTGTCTGTTCCAGTAATAAACCTGGCATTGTTGAAGCTGGTAAGTGAGCACATTTCACTTAGAAGAAATTTCACATTGTTTTATGTAAAATTTATTTTTGAAAACTATGGCTGCTTCCATTTGGAATAATGCAGATATAAACATTCTAATAGAAAAAGAGTAACACTTTTGCTACTACTCATGTGAGGTTTTGATAGTTATTGTTCTGAAACAGTAGTATATATACTTAAATGCTGATGTACTAGTTATAAGAAATATGATTTAAATGAGGTAATAAAAGGTGATTATGTGTGCCACTGTATGATTACCACTAGAGTTAAAGTAATTTCCCCAATGCCGCATCATGTGCTGTGCGAGGCATGTAAAATTGAGTCAAAATAAGTAACGATATGCAGTATTTTTTATGAAACTGTAGCACAATACTGCTTTTCTAATACTTTCTTGCTCCTCTTTTCTTTCTCCGGTTTTAGCACATCTCCTACTCATATAATCATCTTCTAATCATAATAGATAATATGCAGAAGTATGAAGGTCAGATTGCTGTTTCAATAAATGTCTTATCACTAATAATCGAAAGTCATAGTGACATATTTCCCTTGTAATATTTGTTACCAATAAAGGACATTTGCAAAGTATGCAAAAATATTTTGGTAATCTCCTAATTTTCTTTTCACTTAGAATAATAGGCAAATATTTGATCTTGCTTCTCGCCTGCCTTAAATTCACTTGTTGAATTACAGGAAGCAGTTTTGATTTTCTTTCATCATTTCTATTGCATAACTTTTTGTATTCATAAAAAATGTGAAGTCTCTTTTATATTTGCACTTAACAATTATTCCACCATTAGCATACTTTTTATTACAGTTACTTATTTTTTCGCTAATTCGTTTTGGAAATGTTTTCCTGTTGTTTCTGATTGTTCCAGTGTAATGTTGTTTTTTTATCAGCAATGTTGCATAGTTCACAGCTATTATAATTGTATATAAATATGCTGTGTCCTACATCTAGCATCCTACATTTGACATGTCATGGGCATCTTTGTGAAGAAAGAGTTCCTCATCTCTGTCACCGTTATAACTAAAATCACTCAGATAATTGTCTGATAGTTCAGCCAATAATATTGTAATTTTGTCAACTGTTAGAGGTTTTTTATTTTATACTTCCTGTCCCTTTTTTAACGCAAAGACCCTGCAAAACTATCGTCTGTACAACTTACATTACAAAATTATTTTTTCAATAATTGGTGAATTTGAAAACCACATGTATTTACTACTAGTTCTTCACTCCATGCTAGTACCAGCATACATACTCAAAATGTAATGGTGATTGAACTGGAGAGTAAACAATCCTCTTTCCTTACCAGTGTGTGACTGGCACCTCAGACATCAGGCCACATCACACGCCAATGCCTGATCAGTAGCAAGCATGAAAATAAATTTGTTTTCAAAGAATGATTTTATTTATTTTGTTAGTCAAAATTTTCTTTGAATTATGAAAAACTTCCAAAATTGATTTTATTTTTTGCAGATTTGTATGCAAATTTCGTATGTGGCTAAAGGCATATGTTGCGTTAACAATGAAGTAAATTTTTATTAGATTACAAGATTTATCATTTTAAGTAATATAATTTTTGTTTGAAAAGAAATTTAAATTGAAAACAAGATTTTTGATCAACAAGGAATTTATCGAGAAAACAATTTTTTTGAGGTGGGATTTTATACAGAACTGATATAGTACTTTTAATATTCTCTGGCAATTGAATTAAAGTAATGTATATCTGTAATTTTTGTCCTGCATGTTAGAGACTAGTTAATGCTCTAATTATTGTCTTACTTTTGCTAATGGACTGGATGATATTATGAAATAGGGTGTAGGTTTATCCTGTGTATGTTTTCAGTTTAACATATCTGCTGTTTTTTTATTTTTTTATCATCATATTTAAAAGAAAGTACATGTAAATACTTGTCATTTGTAGCTAAGTGGATTTCTGCATTGGCAAAAAAAAAACAAACAGCTATTGATCTGCACATGTGAGTAAAACAAGCAGTTAGCAACCTAACTGGTTTTTTGTAATTGCATTGTGGGAAATAGCAGTTTTTCACTGTAAAATACTCTTTATGCGTACTACAATTAATCAACCATCAATGGAAAAAAGAGCTCTAGGTGATGTCTCAAGCAGTAGCAGAATTTGCTGAACTGTAACCACCATAAAAGTTCTGTAGCAAATGAATTTTCTGATATGTTTATATATGCTTTATTAATAAATTTCCAACAAAATAGCATTAAGGAAAATAATTAAAATTTTGTGGTATATTTAATAATAAATAGAATTTTCCGGCTTGTTTATACATGTTGCTAAATAAAATATTTACATACTTGTATTAAATGTGATAACTAATATACATATTAAATAAGTTCGATTGAATTATTATTTTTAAAAAATTGCAGACAAAATTCTATTACTTTTGGGTTGTAACTAAGTGATTGCAGATTTTGTCAATAAATGGTTTTAACACATTCTTTTGTTTTGTCAGCATGTTCAAAGCACCTAACCTATACTGTTTTCTTCTTGTTTTAATTTCCACTTGTAAGGATTATGTTAATTTTATTAAGAGTTTTAAGTTCCTTTCCTGTCAAATTCTTAACTTTAACTTACTACTTCCGGCCAGAACATAGTTTTGGAATTTGCTGAATATTTAATGAGGAGGAGCAGTATTTAAACTACGAAGTTACTTACTGAGTCAGAGAGAATCAGAGTTTCTGATTTACGCGCGTCTGCCTTTTTGGCCACTCTTTCTGTCAAAGCTGTTATTACGCCTGGCCGTATTCAGGCCCTTGCTAAGCTTCGTAGTCAAATAAGGCTCAATTTGAACCTTGATAGCTTCGGCTATACTTCTTTAGTTAATCTTAGTTTTAGTTTAATTCTTAGTCTTTTAAGTTCAAGTCCAAGTGCGGGCTTTGCTTGTACGCTCCCAGGCGGAGTTGTGTTAAATCTTATTGGAATAAAAAAGGGTTAGTTACCCTTCTATCTTGTTGTTTCTTGTCACCGAACGCAAGCTATTATTTGCTTATCAGTTCTTAGATTCTTCACTTCCAACATTAACTTAGAATTCCAAAGTGAGGAACTCTACACTGGGCATTAGCTCATAGGTACTCTGCTATACCTAGTTAACCAAACAACTCGCTCATACTTTACATATATTTATTTTTATAAAAATATTTCTTAAATGTGAAATTAACCTGTAATAAAGCTTATTTTAACTATATCTTAAAAATACACATTTTTTTCATAAACACCTAATTAATTTATAGCTAATACCATTACTGCGAGTTGGCATTCACTCTTGAATTCAGCAGAATAGACTCGGATAAAAAAAAATAATAATGCCATTTTTCTTCTTGGCAGCTTGCAGTACTACTTAAGTTATACTTGTTTATTTCTACCTGAAGCTACAGAAAATTATTTCCTGCTGTTGAATTCTGCTTGTAAGTAAATAAGAGTAGACTAAAAGATAGTTCATAACCAATGCAGTATACAGTTAAGCAGGATATTTGCACATTTTTCTACTTGTAAGAGGCAGGCATACATTTTCTTGAATAAGACTGTGAAACATAAAATTAACCCTATTTCTGATCCTCTTTGTTTAATGAGCTGGTTGAACAAAATTATTTCCCGTGTAATGCAGAGAAAGGCAATTTCAATAAATAAGTCCACCAAAAGGTATCCCATCTCATAAGTATGTAGTCTTTGTGTGTTTCGCCATAATCGAACATTTCAAATCCATATGTTCCAAATCCACAAGCTTTGTAAGCACACAGTTTTGCATAGCAAAATTAAAAGAATTTTTTATATTTGAAATGGCTACAGATACATGCATAAGTCCATTTTATGTATTTACTTAAAATTTGTAACAGTACTTAACGAAGGACTAGTTTATTACTACAAATGGAAGACATTCAGAAGTTAAACAAGATGACTTTAGATGGAACATAATGTTTCTCTTATAAGTGAAATGCCCCTTTAACAACCTGCCATTCGAAATGATTAATCATTTTAGATATGTGGGTTCTAATCTATTGTTTAAATGTGATTAGAGCTATAGAAATGTAACTGCCAGGGACAATTCCTTTACCCAATACATAACAATGTTATTTGCCCAAATATTGGGTTGGCAACTAAGTAATTGCAGATTTTGTTGATAGGTAGTTTTGCCAGCATGTTCAAAGCACCTAACCTACTGTTTTCGTATTGTTTGAACTTCCACCTTTAATAAGTAAGCTAATTGTATTGATTAATTATTTACTGTCATTTTTTTATCACAGTTTATAAATGGAAGAACAAAGTATGCATTTCATACATATTTTATTGTATTTTACGAAAAAGGCAGGAACTCATTACAAGCATACAAGAAGTTATGTCCTTATATAGGAATGAGGCCTTGAAGAAAGGCAGTGTCAAAATTTGCTTGGCAAATTTTTTTTTTTTTTTTTTTTTTTTTTTTTTGTGATTTTCACTGAAAAATGCCCAATGATCTGGCTATCCAGTTAAAGTTGATGATGTGCATTGAAAGCCATTATCAATTCAGCTCGTCATTGCACAGCACTAGGCATTCCAGTGTATCACATACATGCGTTTAAAAAAAAATAATAATTAAAAGGTTTCAGATTTTAAATTGCATCCAAAGGGGTGTTTTGTGTGTTACCTTTTAAATATCATGTTTTTTGCACTTAAACCATAAAAATTAGTTCAACAGAAATGTTGCAAAGTAATTTTAAAATGAGCATATCTTTAGAATTTCCGATACACAGTTCTGTGCGCTGGAGATAAAAAGGTCAAGCCTGAGAGACAAGTGATCTAATTTGCCACTACTTTTCTTGTATAAAACATATGCATTAAATACGGCCATATCTAATAAATGTTGAGACACTTTGGAATAATATCTCTGCTTATTTCTCACAGCAGGATTATTTGATAGCATCCCATTTTGTTGTTGTAATCTTTATCTCAAGGAACTATTAAGAACTGTTATAAATTATGATTGTTAGCCTACTATTATTATAGCTATTATAACTACTATAATTATATCTAATAGATATATCAATCAAAATATCGACATACTATTTATACTGTTATGTTATATTATAAGATGTACTATTTTGAATATTACTTTAAAAATAAACCGAAGTGTAGTGGGACTATACCTACATTACTTATAGTAAACATTGAACATTGGGTGTCCCACTACATTTCCATTGGAACCTGAACCTGTTGTAATCTTTTACAATTATTGTTTTTTTTACAGTTCTTTTCCGTGTTTCAATATCAGTCCTCGAGTTATTATGGACTGTACTCATCACACATATATCCTTCTTCTCTTTCCACTTCACAACCTCCTTTTTTCTCTTTTTCTGCTGAATAAACGTTGAAGCCATTGTCCATTGTCTTGCATCTTATGCAAAATGGTGCGAATATTCATATAATCTGGGGCAAATTCAATTAGAAATAGAATGTCTGATTAGTGCTGCCGTCTAGGAGGTATTAGAACAAACAAAAATAAAAACTCAAACAAGTAAACATTTAGAAATCTTATTAAAATGTAGACGATTGCTTGAAGCACAATATGGCCGCCCTGCAGAAGTTTCACTTGAACGCGCTAAACGCGCTAGCACGACGAAGAGGTTAAAAGCGATTTTTCTACGAACTAATTGAGATTCCTGTATGTCATTGTCAAACACCTGCTGGCTACAAAGTCATACCATGGCCAATGACAAGATATTGATTGTTTACTACGACCACATCTTTCGGCATATGAATTTGTGTGTGGGCACTTTTTTATCTGTCATGAAGCTTCAAGATATATTTTTTTGAAATGGGAATATTGCTTCTATTGGTTTTCCTTTGTTGGTAAAGCAGCAGAGAAAGGAGAAGGAGAAAGAATTAGATTCTGAGGAACTTAAAGTTCAATTTTAATGTAACAAATCATGCTGTTTGTTTACTTCCTGATTTAATTTTTTTTTGACAGACTGTTATTATTAGATCTATTTTATCAAAATTAAAGTTTGAATTTTCGATTATGTCAAAAAGAATTTCTAATTCTGGAGCTGCAGGAAGATCTAGAAATCGAAAATTTTTTCAATGCCATTCAAACAGAAAGTGAAATTTCTGTAATAAATGGCTAAAGGTTTTGTCAAAATTATGTGAGAAGTATGGCATTGGAAAGTCAACAGTACACAGCTTAAGAAACAGGAAAAGAATTATGTTGTATCGCATTGTTATGTAATGTCTCTTCTTACCCTGTTAAATTGCATGGTCTTCTATTGTTTTGAATATATGTGCATCAGCAGCATAACCAGTCCCACAACTTTGAAACTATTGCTATTCTGTAGAAGGTAATTCCCTAATTTTAATTATTTTTTCGAAATGCAAGACAAGAATAAAGAAATAGCAGTTAATATAATATATAACTCCTTTACAAAACCTAGCTTGATGTACTGAAGATCAGGGTTACATAAGACCAAAGCAAAGTTCGTATTAAGGCTTATAATAAGAGGGAGCTAACATGTTCTGCTTTTTTTAAGTTAAGCATAATTCCTACTCACTTCTGTAGGTCTGGTATTCGGACACCTCTTATGTTGACTTTTCTTATTGACTAGTCCTCTTGCTTATGTTAATAAAACTTTGATAAAGTGTTACATAATGTTAATTTAGAATAGAAAATGATTTTAATTTTTGTTTTTAAGAACATAGATTCTAATTTTACGAAAACTGAATTTGCTCTCAGTAATTTGAAAAAGAGTTTAAGATATCAAACTATTACTACACATACTTTTATATTTAAGCACTGTCTATTAACCAACTTGTACTGCATTGTGCACACCATGCTTTCAATATTTAGCAAAATTTGACTATGCATAGAAAAATGATAACTCCCCACACCCGAAAGACATGGTCATGATCAACAATCAATATAATGTCATTGGCCCTGGTATGACTTGGATCTTGTAAAAGATATAAGAAATTAGCATAATCCTGCTGCGTATAAGCTTAAAAATGTAAGTGCTGTCTGTTCTCTTATAGAGGCTCTGTTTCTTATGAATATGTAGTGATATTATGTATATCCATTATAGGCAATAAATTATACTGTTTCACAATATTGTCAGAAACTATCAACTGCAAAATACATTTCCAAACAATGGAAAATGTGAAGAAATGTGGAGAAATAATGATAAATGAAAATTATATAATGGAAGTTCTTCATTACAATAACAATGCTTCAATTGTCATTCAACTAAGGGACAGCAAAGTCTGCAGTATGGCTAATCCAGAAAATATCACTTCTTGATAGTCAAGAAACAGTTTAGTGGGAGTTCACATCATGCAATTTGAGGACCTGAATGATGGAACTTCTTAAGAGATTAAGGAATTATGTCTGTTAAAAAGGAAATATTAACACAAAGAAGAAAGAGCTTAAATAACTTAATTGAAAACTTTTTTTCTATAAATTTTGATTTCATGGTACATAAGTACTTCAGAAACAACTACAGTGCACTCTTAATTATCCAGATTAATGTCAGGGAAGCAGGTGATAATCCAAACATTTATGCATTTTGTATTTGTTTATTTCTTTAAAAAAAATAGTAATTTTACTTGTTTTTGAGACTGTTTAATTATTTGTTTAATTCCACTGCATATTTTTCAAAACGCTCTTTCATTTTATTTGAATCCCCTTTGTTCGATGAAGTACAACAGAGTTTCAATGGAAGCCATTATTGTCTTGGAACTGATGCAATTGTCAATATCTTTCTTGCTTATATTTTCAGTACCACTTTCTTTCTGTTATGTTCTTGTGACATTTGAAATGATATCCACATTACTGAAGCATTAAAAGCCGAGTTCAGTCGAAATGTCATCAAACCATTCCTCGATGTCTTCCCGAATGACATTTTTGAAGAATTTCACTTTTTCAAATTTTTGGCATACAATTTCTGTTATTGCATTTGTACTTTGTTTCTATAAATCTAAACTACATATGCGGACTGTATAAAACCAGAACTAGAAACTTTGTTTATAGTAATTACAATATTCAGTATTACTTTATGATGCCTTAGCTGAAACTAAAGGTCAAGTGAGAGTTTTTTTTTTTTCCTCTACCATAGGTGGCATAGAATTCTAACATAAGAGGGTTTGACTTCTTTCACTAAGTAAATCGCCGATTTCTACATTAGGAAAAAGCTGTTTTGATGTTCAAACCAGTGTTATTGCTTTTGCTTTCAACCAGGCTTTCATTATTTTGTATATGCCATCCTATATAGCCAACTTTTTGCAGGGCGTCATTAAATCAGTATCTTCCTGAGCAGGAGTTATGAGAAGACCAGAACAGTAAGTTCAATTTGCTGATGATATTACACATGGGTCCATTGTCTGAATTAAACTGGTAAAATTTAGCAGTAAAAATCTAGCCATCATTAGACTCTCTACTGTTTTTTTACACTCTTCCCCAGGTAGTTCTGAGTGTGTATTCACGGGCACTGCCACTAACAGATAATCCGCGAATCAGATAGTCAAGAGTACACTGCACTGCATACTTTTAATTTTATGTGTCATCTTAATAGATCTGAACTGATGGCCCAAAATTTGGAAATTTCTGAAATCGGGAATTATTGAAGTGTTAGATCTCAGATTTTGTACCGTGTATATTGGAGTTCATTATATTGCAAGTGGTGTGCTGCAAAATTATCTTAATGTATTGGCTCATATATGCAAAAAATGATGACAAAAAACTAAACCAAGTCATAATTATATTTGTAATAATTAATAAAAATATGATTGAGTGAAACAAATAGGAGGTAATCTCCCCTGTCTAATCCATTTATTTCACTTGTAATGTGCACATTTTGAGTGAAATTTTGTTTTTAATTTTTACCTTGTATTGAAAATTTTCTGTTTACATTTCTTTTTATTTCTGTTTACCGTCTATGGAAAAATTTCTATTAATACATTTTCGTATTTAATATTATAGGGGGAATGCAAGCTTTAGCAATGCATTTAGGTCATCAGAGTCAGCGTTTGGTTCTTAATTGTTTGTGGACACTGCGAAATTTATCTGATGCTGCAACTAAGCAGGTAAATTAGGATTATTTTCTTGATGCTCTTTTAAATGTTATTTTTAATAAAAAAATTAAGATTAACATGTTAAAATGTGTAAAATATCCGTTTTGAATTTGAGGCCAATCTGACATAGATCTGTCTTCTTCAGATTAAAATAATTTTCCTTCATAGTTGATAGATTCACTATCTGCACCAAACAAAGCTTGCTTTTTTACCTAATTCTAAAAGCTGAATTTTATTAAATAGCCTACTACAATGAGAACTAACAAACTGTTGCCCCCTTATGTAATGTACATATGAAAATTATATTTTGATTAAATATGTAAAATGAAATTTTAATTCATAATAGCCTCTAAGGTCTTTCTAAATTTGTTTCTTTCTCTCTCCTGCCTTAGAAACAGTAATATGCTTTCTTGTGTCATTCATAAGTTAATGGCTATTGTGTAATACATATATGATGCTAGTGATGCACATACTGAGCAGCAAAAAATAAAATCAACTAGTCCCCCCAACTAGTTTAAAACTGAATAAATTAATTCTGTTTGCTTTCTCTTTGCAAAATACCCTAAGGAGCATATTGTATTTTCCGATGTATAACGCATGCTGGTGTGTAACTTGCATCTGTAATTTCCAGCTACATTTTTTAATTTTTAGGTATAATCTTCATATAACGTGCACCTAGTTTTTCACGAAGAAACCTAAAACATACATGTGCAATGCTGTTATCTTTCGAGGTCACTTATTTGAAGATTTGCACTAGCCTTTGAACAGTGGTACACAGAATTGACAAGCGGTAAGGGGAACAGCATGTGTATGGGTTAAATGTTTGTGGATATCCCTGCAAAGAGGGTGGATTGTATTCAATGCAAATGTCCAAAAAGTGCTGCTATGGGCATTTGAGAAAAGGAGGATATAATTTGGAGTAAGAATGCACTTCCAACCTGAATGAATTTGTCGAATTAGGAGTTAGATGTTTTCTCTTTCTGTAGTCATTTGAAGCTATGATTGGGAAGTGAAAATCAAATACAGTTGATTTGGTGTTCCTTTTAGTAGTAAATATGGCTGCCATGAATAAAAAAAAAAAAAAAAAAAAAAAAAAAAAAAAAAAAAAAACATAGTGCTGGTTTCAAATGCAAAGCCATTAAATTTGCAAAAGAAAATGAAAATCGTGCTGCAGTAAGGGTGTTTGGTGTTGGTGAATGATGGAACGAACGATTATTTATTTATGGATCAGAGTAATAATGATGGTGAAGATGAAACAGAATTTGATGATGTGCCTGAAGATATAACGGAAGACGAATATGGCAAACTTTTTATGTTGTCTGATAATGAAAATTTTTAAGTTCATTTTATTTATCATTTCTTTTAAATGAACATGTAATTTTCTTTTAAATAAACAGCATTTAGGTACATAGAGAAATCTGATTTTTTTATGCTCATTCCTTATTTTTAAATCTATCATTTTATACCTGGCATATAATACACACCCTTAAATTTTGATCTTATTTTTTGTATTGAAAGTGCACGTTATACACCAGAATATATGGTAATTTGAATCTTCATTCACTTTACTTCCAGCTTTTCTCATTGCTGTTTTACTGTGTATTTTCAGCATTAAAAATAAATTAATCATGTATAAACTTATTTGTAAATTTGCCTACATATATGTCATCAGAATGTGCATATGTTATTGTTCTGCGGTGGATGTGAAGAACAAAGGAAATCAAAATATTTCTTTATCTACGTAATATATAAACAACAGTTATCTTTACAGGTCTGCGAGTCTATGTTAATTTTATAATAATGAGATTCAAAAATGATTATATTTTCGTTTCCAGGATAATGTAGATGGTCTTCTGCAAGGCCTTGTTCAGCTTTTAGGTAGCAGTGACATAAATGTGGTTACATGCGCTGCTGGCATTCTTTCAAACATGACATGCAACAACCATCGTAACAAAGTTACAGTTTGCCAGGTTGGGGGAATAGAAGCTTTGGTGCGTGCAATAATTCAAGCTGGTGATAGAGAAGAAATAACAGAGCCTGCTGTAAGTAAACCAGATTACAAATCAAATGTTCTTTCCCCTATTATTTACAAATTCTTTGATAAGAAAAGCTTTCCTCTCTTGTTTGGTTAAAAAAATGAAGCTTGTGGTTACTTAAATGTACACTTAGTTTCCTTCTGTCGAGTTTCTATGCAAGTTGTACATTTTCTCTTCGGATTTACCTTTATTTATTGCTTTAAATGTTTGGTTATGTTATATCAGTGCATTTTATACGATGATTATAACATGGTTTATTTTTAAGTTTATATATTATTTTATATATTTGAGGTAAAATTATCGAGAGTTCTATTATGATTAACAAATTGTTGTTTCATAATACAGTACAAAGTCCGAAATCCGGACGTCCATTATCTGGAATGATCTAAAATCCAAATATTTGATTATGTTATATTAGTGCATTTTATACTATTATTATAACATGGTTTATTTTCAAGTTTATATATTTATTTGCTGCTATTGAGGTAACTATCAAGAGTTCTATTATGATTAAAAAATTGTTGTTTTATAATACAGTACAAAGTCTGAAATTCGGGTGTCCATTATCTGGAATGATCTAAAATCCACACCTCAAAACTACTAGCAACATTTTTCTCGTAGGCTTTACACATGCGCATTTGATTCTCCCTCCGCACATAATAAAACATCTGGAGAGTTCCGATTCTTAATTTCACTTTGACACTAAATAAAATATCTTGTTAGTGAAGAAACAATCATTTTAGCATGAATTTGTACGATCAGTAAATTGGCTCCATAGCTGCGTATCTGTTTGGCACACATCTGAAACCAAAACATAGATACATGGTTGATCTGACACCAACCTGGCGAATTATTATTTATTATACTTTCGTTTCATTCCCACATGTTTATCAAAACATGACAACTTGAGTAATGACTCATGTAGCGATGCCTAAACAATTTTTTTTATGTTAGTAATTGAATAATAAAGGAGTATGGTAACCTTTTATATTGACATTACGCTTGGCAATGATTACAGATTTAAGTTAAATGTGCTAAAAAAAGATGAGTTAAAATTTACCAAAAATTTTTTTCCATATGCTAAAAATAGATTTTGTTGATGATACTCATAGACCCAAAGATTACATTTAAGGCTATTTCAGTTAAGAATGACTGATTTGTTATTCACATAAACCCAGAACCAGTGCCAGGGCTTGTTTGGCCTCACTTGAGTCGCAGAATTTAGGACCCACAGAGACTGCATCACGTGGTAAGATATCTAGCGCCAGCCCTCAATAAGGATTAGGTATATGTAGGAATTTATTAAGAACTTTGATAAGCCTTAAGCATGTGCAAGAAATAGACATAAGTGTAATAAATAACTAAACTAATACAATTCAGGCTTAGATGTCTCGGTGCACGATAGAAGTAAAATAAAAGTTAATGGAACAATTTGTCGTGAGTCGCCAAGCTCATGATGCATAATCAAATATCTATAGTGAAGGATAGCTAAATCTGATGGTGATAGCTGCTAATTTAAAAAATTTTCAGATATTGAAAAACAAAGGTGAAATTTTCCAATTAACGAATTTTGTAAAGAAATGTGGAGAAGCGGTAATAAATGAAGATAATATAAAAGAAGTTTTTCATTGTGATGACAATGCTTCTCAATCATCAATCAATTAATGAATGGCAAAATCTGTAGTATGGTTCTAGATATTTTTTGGTTTGTTCTTGTTGTTAATTTTGATACCACTTTACATCATAAATACTTCATTATTTCATAAATCATGATTTCATATTTTTAATTTTGTAATTTCTACATGCCATCTTACTCGATTTAAACTGATGATCTAATATCCGGAAAAATCCCAAATCTGGAATCGCTGAAGTCCCGACGAGTCTGAATTTCGGACTTTGTACTGTATTTTTCTCTAACTGTGAAATGTTCGAGAATTACTTATATTATTTGAGAATAAATATAAGTACAGTATTTTATTTTAAGACTGTGTTCCATTATATATTAGTATAAATGAATTTTTTTAAGGAAATGTAATTCATGTATGTTCAAATGATGACTCCTGTCTCTTATTATTCCTGTAGATATTCTTTCTTTACACAAATGATTTGTTATATTTTACGTTGGAGCTATTTTAGAAAATTTTTAAAATTTTAAATATAATTTAAATCTCAATTTTAATTTGCATTATACTTTAAATGAAAAAAAATCTATTTGAATTCCAGAACTGGTATTGAGATAAGTTCTAAGACTGCAAAAATTTTAAATTATTGAAATTTATTCTAGAGATTTTATATTCAAAATATTTCACAGGTGTGTGCTTTAAGACATTTGACAAGCCGTCATCCTGAAGCAGAAATGGCACAAAATGCCGTTAGGTTACACTATGGACTGCAAGTAATTGTTAAGCTGCTGCATCCTCCAAGTAGATGGCCACTTATAAAGGTATAATAAACATTTTGTATTTTGATCTAAGGTAAGTTCAGAAAATGTCCTTACCATTTTAAAAAGAAAATTGTAAAATAATGTTTTGTTTTCTAATTCTTTTTGTTTTGTTTAATCTGTCTAATTTGTTTGTTTTATTTTTGCTATCTTTTACCCATATTAATAAAAATTGATTTCCATTTTCTCCCATAGGCTGTTATAGGGCTAATTAGAAATTTAGCATTATGCACAGCTAATCATGCTCCATTAAGAGAACATGGGGCTATACCAAGATTGGTGCAGTTGCTTATAAAAGCATACCAGGACACCCAGAGAGTAAGTTTGTATAAAACATTTTTAAAAACAAATTAATTAAAAGAAAATCTGAAATGTTTCAGATTTTAAATTACGTCCAAAGGGGCATTTTTTTAACATTTTGTGTGTTACATATATTTATTAAATATCATGTTCTTCGCATTTAAACCATAAAATTCAGTTCAACAGCAATATCGCAAAATAGTTTTAAAATGAGTTTTCTGTATCTTTAAAATTTCCGATACAGAGACTCGCGCGCTGGAGATAAAAACTTTTTCTCTGTACAACGTTGCCATTGCTCGCTTTGAAATCTCTGAGTTTGTTAATCAAAAATTCATTAAAATTTTACAAAATAGGAAAATGATAATAAAACAAATTCCAAATTTGGTCTTCCACATGGCCATATTCGTAGGAGGATTAAGTCATTCAAAATTTGATGGCTCTGTGTACCGTTGTTTTATCATAAAGCAAGAAATATGCATACATTTATGTAGATTTTTCATTATTTAATTTCTTTAAATATAGCACAGGGCAATAATACGAGGGCCATCCAGGAAGTAGATTACGTTTCCGTCTGTGTCCGCTAGGGGCGGGGCTAGCGCGGCCATCTTGGGGTCAGAGCGTTGCACAGCTCAGTCTGCATCTAGCCGTGCTAGTGAGAGGTTCGTGCTGTGCTCCGTTCAGATACTGTGACGGTTTGAAATGTCTGCGTTAATTGAAAATCCCGCGAGCTGCGAGGTGCGCTCAGTAATAAGGTTTCTGACTGCAAAAAACTGTAAACCGATAGAAATCTATCGGCAGCTTCGTGAAGTGTATGGGGACAACATTGTCACTGAAGGTGGAGTGCGTCAGTGGGTCATAAGATTTCAAAATGGCCGAACCAATGTTCACGACGAAGATCGAAGTGGGAGACCCAGCATAGTGACCGCCGAACTTCTCGAAAAAGTCGATGCTAAAGTCCATGAAAATCGAAATTTCACAATAACAGAACTTTCTTTGAGTTTTCCACAAATTTCGCGAAGTTTGTGCACGAAATCATCAGCGAAAAGCTTGGTTACCACAAGTTTTGTGCAAGATGGAAGGCAAGAAGAGGTAACGAAGTGGTTGAAGGCGCAGGCGGCCGAATTTTTCGACGAAGGAATTTCCAAGCTCGTACATCGCTACGATAAATGCCTTAATTTGTATGGTGACTATGTAGAAAAGTAGTATTTGAGTGTGGCTTTCATCTGTATATAATAAAATTTGTTTCCTATACTTTGTTTATTTTTTTATTCCAAAACGTAATCTACTTTCTGGATAGCCCTCGTACTTTGTGGCAACAGTTTGAAAAGTGATTCGCCATTTGTAGTGAATCGAAGCAAAATCGCAAAACGGAAACAGTAGTCCTTCAGGGACAAAGACCCCTTGGACTAATAAAATCAGAATTTTACTTATTTTTCTTAGCATTGTATTTGTAGGCTTTGGTTTATTGAGCCTTTACAGTTCTTATTTTTTGTTAGATATATATAGCATTAGAAGTTCAAAAAAATAAATAAATCAATCAAAGGAGGAAAATTATTAATGCATTTAAATAGCTGTCTTTTTTTTCCTTCCTCTTTCCTACATAGTCATTTACATTTAGTAAAATGTTTTTCGCATTTTGGCTGTTTAAATCCATAAAAATAAAACAAATAAAAAATTGAGAGTTCGATGATTTTCACTGGTGTATCGTGTTTCTGAGCTATCCCAGTTTCATCTTTCTAATTTTTCTTATTTAAACTAGGAAGTTTATGTTTTTAACTCTGTATCATTCAGCCATACAAAATAATCCATGAATTGATCTTTTTGGTTATCGTATTCCTATTTATGAAAAATTTATTTACAGAATGTTTTTGCAAATTTTTTTTACATTTTTATCCTACTAGTACACAAATTCCATGTTCATTTCTTTAAATACAACATCATCTTGAAAACTGTTTTATGAGCACATTTTCATATTTATTGGAATGACTATATTTTATTGATGAAATAGCCAGATAGCTTCATGCTTGTGCAGTCGAAGTTTTCTTTAACTTGAGTTACAGATTACTTTTTGCATAGTTTGATCATACCGACATCAGAAAAATGCAAATATTGGCAGTTTCCAACTTGAACATAAGTACATAATTGAATTTTATTAGTCACATATCATTTAAAAAAAGCTGTCTCGAAATATATACTAATTATTTATCTGCAAATGATATTATCACTAAAAACAGAGCAGTTTTTCACATGATTAACTGAAGTTGGAAAATAAGTAGCTCAAATTTACAATAATTAATTGTATGTACATTGTGACTTTGGTAAGTGTTAAGATTTTGTGTTATACTAAAAGGCATATTCTTATTTCCCAAGGAATGACACTGCATCAGTATATTTTTTAAATGGTTCATTTTAGTATTATTTTTGTGTATGTAAAAAATGGTGTTTTAAAATCTTTGAACAACACTGAACAATTGTATGAAGCAGATTTTTGAAACTTACACAAGCAGTTATTAAATAAGTCAAATTACTGCAGCTAATCTCATTTTACAGTCCTGTTCTGTTGGGGGGGGGAGTACATCTTAACTCACTCAGTCTGCTCAAACATAAACTTTTAATTATTTAAATTAAAGGAACTGATATGAGCGTTTCATCTTGAATTCAATTTTAAGTTTTTGATGAGTTGGTTGTATCTCTGTATAATCTGCTTTCATATTAGAGACAAAAAAAAAAAATGCATTTCCTCCCGACAGTTCTTTGAATTATTTATTTTTAAAAAAATCATAAAATGTAATATATATGTGAGATACCAATACAAACTAAATTATTGTGCATGCAAGTCAAAAAGTAAACCATGTGATTTACCAGTTAAATGAGAAGCCAAAAATCAAATAAAGCCTTTGCTATTCGATACAGAAACTTAGCATTTTTATGAAAACTAATGTCTAGTTGAATAGTGAACTTTTTAAAGCTGAAAATTTAATTAACTGAATTCAATATCAGCAGTGCATTTCTCTGTGCATTGTATCTACAAGAGTTAGCCTAGAAATATATGCCATTTAAACTGTTTATATATTTGTCTTCTATTTCATATATATATATCTAAATTAATTCTAAGCAGCATATTAGCACTTGAGTAATGCTCATATTTGTATATGCATGCATTCATGTGCATTTTTGTAAAAGAGAAATTTTGATTGATTTCAATGCCCCCCCGACAAAGTAGCATTGAACTTGATTGAATTCCTCTGCTGTGTTTGTTCATGTTTCTTTAAATTTCATTAATTTTTTTAATTTGGGTTTTGTTTTGCAACATTTTTTAAAATTCTTTGTTGCATTTATAAGATTAGTTGAAATTTATTAATTATGAATTTCAATTTTTGGTCTTTGTAAAGTATTAGTTCTAAATTTTTTACTTTATGTCTTTAATGTATATAAATCAGGGTTCGTAGCGGTACTTACAAGTGCTTATAAGTCCTTATATTTGAAAATAAAATATAAAGGCCCTTATAGGTGCTTACTTTTTCTTTAAAGCCCTTTTTTTTTTTTTTGTTTTTAGTGCTTATTTTTTGCTTTTAGTGCTTTTTTTAATGAACTCGCATATTTTCCTCGTACCGAAGCCAAAACTAAATAAACAACTTTTCTTCCTTACGTGCAACATCAGATGATGAATCATACTCCCGGAAATTGCTTTCCCCCCTTTCTCTGCATTAACATAACCTATGGTGCACGCGAGAGTACAGACAGGTGCACGTCGTTCTATTGGTCAAAGAATTGCGAAAACGGTAGAAAATTACGGTACATTCGGTATTCTTTTCCTCCCACCCAAATGCTACACACGTTTGAATTTTTATCAAGATTTTAATAATTTGCATTCTTGTTCCGCGTGGTCAGTTCATATTCGTGTTTATTATGATCGTTACGCTTATATTATGAGCATATGAATGAATACTTTATATTATGAGCATATGAATGAATATTTATAATAATATAATTGCAGTAACTGCTGAAGTATATATAAACTTCCAAAAATGAGTGTTTTTTTACACAGATTAGCTTTATAAGGAATAATATTCGGAATGGCTTAAATAAAAGGAATGTAACCGAATAGTCATTCCCCCCCAATACATTATATAGTACAGATGTTGGGAGGTTCTCCCCTTTCTCCGCAAAATCTCTAATATTGAAGCAGGAGACTCTTTTTTTTTTTTGTTGTTGTTGTTGTCACTGTCCAATCGGGATTGAATAGGACTAAAAGTTTTTGCGGTCTATCCAACCTAAGCGAAGATTGATTATATTCCGGAAATTTAACGCAGTCTGTTGAAAATTAGAATCAGAAACACCCCAGATTAGTAAGTCTCTTTTTTTTTCCTTTATTTAGTTCTTTATTCTTTGAATACCAGCAGCTGTTGATTCCGATTGCGTAATATCTATCATAAGAATTACGCCGCACGTATTGCGCAATTACGTTTGCGGTATTTTGCAGAGATAATTAATTTTGATGTCAGTCTGAGATTTGTTTATGCACACTTAAAAGAGTTTTACTGTGCTTTTCTAAGCAGAATATTTCTCAGTTCCGTTGGTCTATTTTTATATGATGCACATATCGAAATGTCAAAATCATTTATTTAGCCGAGAAATCTAAAAAACGGCTACAATCTCCCTCACTCTTCTTTTTCCAGTTACTATCCAGAATATTCGGCAATTTCCGAGTATGCGGGTTAGTTAAACTTTTACTGTTAAAGAATGACTGCATGAAGCAATTTCCCGTCTTCTGATTTCAGAAATGTGCCTCTTTTTTACTTAAATTACTTTGCTTGGAATATATGTTAAGGGAAAACTGTTATGCAATGAAAATTTAGAAAATGTTCAAAATTTTGATTTGAGTTAAATTATTTAAAAAATAAATTGTATTTATTATTAGGTGCCAAACAAATACAATTATATGGCTTATTGTTATTTTTTTCTATATTTTGAACTGAAATTTCAATTCTCATTCCCTTAATAAATATTGCATTGCTCATATTTTAAATTACAAGTCTAATTTTTCTTTTAAGATTATGCAGTTGTATATAATGTAATTGGACAGATGCTTATTTTTTCCTTAAAATGTGCTTGAAAAGTGCTTATATGTGCATATTTTTTTAACTAAAATGTGGCTACGAACCCTATAAATGTGTATGATCATGTATGCATTATTGTGTTTCTGTAATTTGAATGTTCATCTTAACCTTTTAATGCTTTATGTAGTAGATACTATAAAAAGTTCATTGAGAAGAATGTCTTAAGTATTTACTTAAAATTAATTTGTTCAGTCTATTTATTTCAGTTATCATGGCAAGATGACTTTTACTAAGGAAAGTTACAAAAATATTGTATGTATTGATTATTTTTCCCATGAAAACAAAAAAATATATATTTTTTTTTTTAAATTTAATAAACTTTCTTAATTATGTTATAGCAACGCTCTAGTGTAGCTTCAAGCAACAGCCAGATTGCTTATGTTGATGGTGTCAGGATGGAAGAAATTGTAGAAGGAACTGTTGGAGCCTTGCATATTCTTGCCCGTGAAGCTCACAATAGAGCTATAATTAGAGGACTTAATGTTATTCCTGTATTTGTTCAGGTAAAGCTTGCTATCTATCATATGAGAATTATTATAGTTTAGAATTTTTGATTAATTGATATTTAAAGTAAAATGTATTTTACATGTTTTTTATTACATTTCTAGATCAGTCCAAATAATATTTCTTTTACACATTATCTGGACTGATCTAGATATGTTAATAACAATTCTAAATTAATTCTAAACAGCGTACTAGCTCTTGAGTAATGCTCATATTTGTATGTGCATGCATTCATGTATTTGTATAATTTAATTTAAATGTAGTGCAGTTTAAAATCAGTAAAATATTAAGAGTAATTGCATTGAAATACAAGGAAAATATGAGAAAATATGGTACTTGTATGGTAATTAACTCTTTTACAGAGTTGCAGGATCAGTTTGGAAATATGATCAAAAAAAAAAAAAAAAAAACACTTAACTATTATAAGATTAACCTTAGCTAGATTAGACATTGTTCTTAAACATTGATTTTTTATTACTAAATAACTCACAGGATATTTTTATTGCCAGCTTTTCTTTCTTCCCCCTTTCTCTCTCTCTCTCTTTCTCTCCCTCCTCTTTCCAATAGGCTCTTCATATTTAGTCTTGTGTATTTTTACAAGTAGTAACTACAGGGTTGCCACGCTACCTGGAAAACCGGGAGAACCGGGAAAAGTCAGGGAATTCGAAAATTGACCAAAATATTCAGGGAAAAGTCAGGGAATTTAAGTATTTTTGTCAAAATCTGGAAAAGTCGGGGAAGTTCATACAACGATCCCGCCAAAAAAAGCGATTTTCGCGCCGACGTCGGAAGAGGTAACTTTTTTGGAGAATTATGTATCACGTGAGTGTCATTCGGGTAGCTGGCATAGAGCCAATTTACGCCGCTCCAATTTGATTGTCTTTTAGAATGGCAAAGCAAGTTTCCCACAACTTTTGGTTTCCAGCATATTTTCGAAGAATCGAGAGAAACGCATGTGCAGTGCATGAACTAAAGAAAGTACATGTTCTCGTATAAAACAAAATGGGTTTAAATCTACGGTACCATGCGGTACCATAAATACGGTACCATGGAGGTTAGAATCAAAGAATATGTATTGTAAAGAAGGAAAACCTCTCTGTAACAGACGTGGCTGTGGCTCCGTTCCACCATAGAGGGAAAACAGCTGTGCATGTCTGATATATCTGTCGCCAAAGCTCGAAACCGGTGTCGAAGTTCGAAGGTCACGTTATCAAGAGTTCATAAAATGAATATCGTTTAAAATTTCTTTAACCACTTGCGCTAAAAAGACGTGCCACGCACGTCAAGATGCTTTTGTCTCAAACCGCGAGCGACGTGAACACCACGTCGATAAGCATTTATCGCAAAAATGAAAATAACGTGGTGCGCACGTCACCTAACAACGAGATTGTTTATTTCTCGAGTTACAGCTCTGGATTGCACTCGCAGATGCGGAGCGGCGTAAATGAGACACTTTACGGCTTGTTATATTGTAGCGCACGGCACCGCAACCGTGAAGTTTAGTCTTAGCGCAAGTGGTTAAACTCTAAAGGAAAAGAAAATATTTTTTGGCACAAGTAAATTAATTCATGGATTAGTTATTTTCAGGGGGGAAAAAAAAACTACGAAAATCCGTTTTTAAAATTAATGCGAAAAATCCAAGAAAGAAACGTCCTTTGATAAAAACGTTTCTTCTTGGATTTTTCACAATAATTTAAAAACTGAGAACATTTCAGTAGTTTTCTTTCTTGTTTTGTCAAAGAGCGTTTCTTCTTAAACACGTGTTTCCTCAATTTCCTGTACACATCGTGGAGAGAGGAAATTCTGGCCTCCAGGTTTCGTCCGCCAAATCCCTTGGCAAATTTTCCCTCCGCATTCTAGCGGCGCAATAGGCATTTTACTTGTATGGAACCTTTTCCTTCTTTACATTAGACGTTCTTTGGTTAGAATAACCTCCATATATTCTATTCTAACCTCCAGGTACGGTACACACAAGATTTGGTGTCATTATAATGCGCAGGTAAACGGGTCATTTTGGTGTTGGCCGACAATTTTCAAAATCGTGCCAAAGCCTTACCGTTATACTAGAATTTTACTGCAAAATCTTTTTAAACCTTTTTTTTTTTTTTTTTTTTTTTTTTTTTTTTTTTTAATAACACCTTGCCATTTTGCAGTAAAATAAAAAAAATAGTAATCATCAGTCATCTAGCCTAAGCCATGTTAATATAACTATATTCGCTAAAATATCGTTGATTATTCTAATTCAATTTTTAAGTAATTATCTTTATTTTATGTTATTCATATCATTTAATGTTTGCTTCTTCCCTCTAAATTTATTTATTATTTGTAAATAATACTTTCCAAATTTCAGGAAATTTTCTCTGGCATAATCCTGAAATTAATTCTAGCAGTATGATGACATACCCTCACGAAATTTAATGCACATATTTTTTTCCTTATGTATGCTGCGAAATAAATATAAAATAGCTCAATTTATTAAAATAGATTTCTTTCTTTCGTTTAGCTGCAGAATGTCTGCAAAAAAAAGCCTTATTTTATCCCAGATTGGGAAGATTCTAATCTCAATCTTCAGTGGAGAAAGCAACAACTATTATAATTATATTTGTGTTTTCAAGTGTTAAGGTGCCTTTTAAGAACATACCTCACGCAAATTAAATTTACCTAAAATCTAACCTAACTATTTAGCATTGCGTTGTGATTTATAAGGACCGGATTAGCCTCGTATTGAACTGGTGATGATCATGAGTGATAATTAAATAAAACATACATTTGTTATCCAATATATATATCTTAAATTTTATTAAGTTTCTTAAGTGGAAAACTAAACAAAATTATCAAACAAAGTATACCAAGAATAATTAAGAATAAATGTCCTCTGGGAGTTATTGAATAATTAAGTGAATTTGCTACACAATACAAGTAAAATACCATAATTAATTTACATCTTATCACAGCCAACGTACATTACGCGGATAGACTGGAATTTTCTTGAAACACACCTGGAAAACCTGGAAAAGTCAGGGAATTTCATTCTCCTGTTTCAGTGGCAACCCTGTAACTAGTAAAAGTTAGTTTTCTAAAGCTGTCGGCAACAGTTGATTATGATTATTGAACCAAACACCTGAGAAAATAAGTGTCTACCAAAAATAAAATGCTTAACATTTATTTTAAGACCCCTGGTGAAATTTTTAAAAAATACCAGTTCTAAATGTTCTTTAAATTATAAATAAATAAAAATCTTTTTTTCAAGCTATATTTACTGATTTTGCAAAGTTTTTAAATTGTGCTTCTTTACTGAATTTTTTTATTTTTTTTTTTTTTATGGTTATTTCAAGTGTGGTAAATTATGATACAAAAATAGCAATTGTTGAGCATTTTTGGCAGCATTCTGTTGTGCCATTTTTCATAAGTATATGTGCTTCTGAAAACAGCCTTTTGCTATTTATGATGTTATCTGCTGGATGCTTGTGGGGATAGATATTTCTTAGCTATTTTAGATAGATTAGGATAATTAGTGTGTTAATTTTCCATCAGATGACTAGGTGAGGTGTTTTTCATCAGATGTTTTCTTTCTTTAACTGAACCAGAAGGGGCATTAATTGATCATTTGGTTTGCTCGTCCTGTGAAATAGAAGTATAGGTTACTTTTGCAAATCAATCCTCTGAAAATATGTGGATCTTTTTAACTCAGTCAAAATTTGCATTTTTATTATGACGATTTTGCATTGTCTTGGAGAGAATTTTGGCCAAGAATTTCTTTCTCCATAAATAATAATTCTTTTAGTTACTTCATTGTAATCTTGATCTTTATTGAGAAAAGATTTTTAATTCCAAAATGTAATGGAACTTTGATCATCTGTCAGTTTCAATCAAGTTTAGGATCAAAGACTAATCTCATCAGCTGGTTATTTTGATGCTTATTATGTACAGAGAAAGTACAATATTTCTATACTATAAACACAGCATAACTAATATATATCACATACAGTACAATGCCTGAGATCTGGTCATCCAATATTCGAAAAGGTATAAAGTCTGGACCTCAAAACCATCACCAACCAATTTTTTTAGGTGGGTATGTTTTACGCATGTACATTTCATTTGCCCCATTATAAAACATGCAGAGTCCCAATTTTTTATCTCACTTCGCTTTTAAATACCTCATTATTGAAGAAATAATCATTTTAGCATAAATTTGTGTTATCAATAATTTGACTTCGTAGCTGCGTATCTGCTAGACACACATCTCAAACCGAAACATTCTACTTAGAAACATTGTTGATTTTACACCAACTAATATTTTATGGTGTGGCCTCAACCTAGTGAATCATTATTTATTATATTTACTTTCATCACTGCATGCATGTTTATCAACACATGACAACTTGAGTGATGACTCATGTAGCGATGCATAAACAATTTTTTTATATTAGTAAGAATAACAAAAAGTGTGGTAACATTATCTGTTGACATACACTTGGTGCAGATTACAGATTCAAGTTAAATGCAATAAGGAATGTTGATGAGAAAAGATTTAACAAAAATTTCTTTCCGCATACTAAAAATAGATTTGCATTCATTGCTATTTGAATTAAGATAACGGATTTGTTATTCACATAAAGCCAGAAGCAGTGCCAGAGCGCACATAGCCGCATAGGGCGGCAGAATTTAGGGAAAAAGAACAGTTAATCGAAGTTTTTCATTGCAGTGTCAATGCCCCAATCAGTTAGCAGACGGCAAAATCTGAAGTATGGTTCTAGATCCAGAAAATACTGTTACTGATAGTGAAGAAAGTTACAGAGAGGTTATTGAAGAAGAAAAAAATTCGATTGCCATAGTCGAAATTCTCAATGCAGCAATTACAAGACTTGAACAATAGAATTTAGTAACTGAACAAGAAATTATGTGTGTGAGAAAGTATTAGAAAAAAAAAAAAAAAAAAAAAAAAAAAAAAGCAACTGAAACAACTACGTTAAAAAAAAATTTAATAAAGTAAACA